GTATCGCGAAGGGTCGATGCCAGCCACCCCCTTAATGGCATGGCTGGCTACGGGCCTGCCGCGCAGTCGGTCAAGCCGTTCGGATCCACTGATACCCGCCTCAAACATGGTTTCCGGAACAATGCAAACACGCATGCAAACGGCCCGCCATGACGAGCCGATAGCCCGCATGGCGCAGGCACATGACCCGGCCCGGTCACAGTCACAGTCACAGTTACAGTCACAGTCCGGCCCGGTCACAGTCACATGACCCGGCCCGGTCACAGTCACAGTCACAATCCGGTCCGGTCACAGTCACATGACCCGGCCCGGTCGCAGTCACAGTTACAGTCACAGTCCGGTCCGGTCACAGTCACATGATCCGGCCCGGTCGCAGTCACATGACCCGGCCCGGTCACAGTCACACGACCCGGCCCGGTCGCAGTCACAGTCACAGTCACAGTCCGGCCCGGTCACAGTCACATGACCCGGCCCGGTCGCAGTCACAGTCACAGTCACAGTCCGGTCCGGTCACAGTCACATGACCCGGCCCGGTCGCAGTCACAGTTACAGTCACAGTCCGGCCCGGTCACAGTCACATGACCCGGCCCGGTCGCAGTCACACAGTCACAGTCCGGCCCGGTCACAGTCACATGACCCGGCCCGGTCGCAGTCACACAGTCACAGTCCGGCCCGGTCACAGTCACATGACCCGGCCCGGTCGCAGTCACAGCCACAGTCACAGTCCGGTCCGGTCACAGTCACATGACCCGGCGCGGCCGACCCGGCACGCCGATCCCACGCCAACAGTGAGACGGCCGAAGTGAGCAGAACGCAAACGTTGTCGCGCGCTACTATCAAAAGCAGAGCCAAGAGAAGAAAGCTGAAGTGCATGCTATGGGGGGGGGGGGGGGGGGCCTCTACGCACCTCACCAGCACATTTGTCTCCGAGTTTCATCTCTTTCGGATGGTTATGCTTGACCGAGCCGCACTTGCCAACCGGAGGCAATCCTACACACCTCCGCCTTCTAACCTGCTGCCTGTCTCGCGCTGCCTGGGCGCACACCGGTCGCCATCGCCCGGTGGAGCCGAGCGCCGCGCCTGGCCGACGGCGGGTCAAAACCGCGCGGCGGGGATCTCCCAGCGCCCGGGGCCATCCGACGGCTCAATACGAACTTGCGTCGCCGCCGACGCCGAGCGGCGGCCGGCCGCGCATCCGGCGCGACCCCAGCTTTCTTGCGCGGCGTCAGGGCGGCGGACGACGGAGGAGCAGCAGCGGCCGCCGGCTGGTGACGGCGCCTGGTCGACTGTCAGCAGCGCCGGGCCGGCAGCGGCATGGCTGGGCGTAAAGACTGGCCGGACGCGCCGGCTCTGTTGCGGTCAGCTTTGATCACGGGCCAGCTAGGCGCAGGTGTTCGCGGACCGCGTGCGAGGTGTAGCATTGCGGTATCCGTAACATAGCGCGTGTCGGGTGTAGAATGCGAATGCGTTCATTACCAGCCTTATCACGGCCTTATCGTACCTAGGATATTTGCGCGACCTGACTAAAGAAATACCCGCGTTAGAGACGCTACTTTTTCCAAAATGTCAGCCTCGCGTCCGGCCAGATAGAGATCCAGCCCGCAACGCCCGTTTTGCTACAATGCTGATCCAACGGTAACCCGCAAGTACTGGCATAATTGTAATCTGCTCTTGTTGCATCAGCTTTGGGCCACAGACATCCATCAAGTGTGCAATATGTCACGTCAGTCATCTAATGCACGACATTTTTGGCTAGCAAACTGCGATGTTGCTTAGCCAGCAGTGATTAAAAACACCAGGACTATGGGATTTCGATTGTGCCAAGATAGAAGTTGATCACTGCGACGCCATCTTCTAACTACAACTAAGAAGGAAGGGCGGGGGAGTCAAATAGCCATGACAAAAATGCACCAAAGATTTTAACCTTGGTATCTCTTTTCGCAGCAACGTGACGCAACGCGACGCGACGCAGCGCAATGTCATAGTCCGGCATTTAATAGCCAAACGCAGGCTCTGATGCGGTGGTCTGTTGTCCTGAGATGGATTCACATTCATCGCCAAACTGTTTGTGATGCTACGTACCAGCAATGATAGCAATCACATTTGACAGCCTGGTGTGCTGGTGTATCAAGTCCGCAATGGATTTCTGACACTGAGGATCTCGCTAGAAAGATCAAAATACCTTTATCATTGTATTGTGTTGAGCGGCACTCTTAGACTTTTCGTGGTTTGGAACTTAAGCAATGACAAAATTCCATTACTTTGCTTGCAAAAATAATTAACCCAAAAAACCCACCAAGCCTGGCCCATGTCCCGGCCAAAAGCCCGCGAGTTCCTACGGGTCACATGTGGAGGGTTGGTGGGATGAAAAGTCCCGTCTCCAAACCACGTCACCGTTGCCAGATCGAGTCAGACCAATAGGAAATTAGGCTTAAACTGATTAGGCCGTCCCTTACTTCTTGCAGAGCAAAGATAGATGAACATTCTAAAAAGACGGTTGTCAGCCCTAACAATGTTACGCAGGAAAACCACAATTTTGCCATCTATCCCCCATTTTTGTATTCTTAGCGCGGCAACCGTATGCCGTAACGCGTAACAATACATTATGTGCTGTAGGGAGCTCTTAAAGTGGACGTTGTGTTATGACCTCATGGTGTCTTCACCAGTTGAAATGCTACTTAAATGCTGCAGCCCTGTGGCCAATGACTGATAAAAAAACGTATATATCCATTGGTGAGTCGGTCCCTTTCAGCGCAGGATAGCCCCACAGGTGAGCATATGTGGGCAGTGATACCCCCAAGTACCATAAGGCAACCAAGAATGACGCGCGCCAGATCCAGCCTGAGGTTCGAGCGCTCGCTGCCTCGTCATGCCTAGATCTTACGAGCGCACATTTTCACAG